ACGTGGCAATGAATTCCAGTTCTAAAGGCATAAATTGCTGTTTCACTCTGCACCTTCCTAGCTGGCCAAAGCACTCCAAGTGGGAAGAGAGAGGTGTTTTCACTTGCCCATTTGGCAACCGAGAAGGTTTCATGGCGCCTTGTACTTCCTATCAATTCCCAGCGCTCTGTCTGGGGCATTGCTAAGCGTTGCTTCTATCTGCCTTTCTCTTCTGCTGTGTTCAAAGTGGGTTTTTTTTTTTCCTAACCCTCTCCCACGCCAGACAATCACAGAGAACAACCTCTGGGCTTCAAGAGAAGAGAATATCTACAGTTGAGGGATGAACTGTGAGGTCTTTGGGTCAGTTTATTTTCCAAAGCATCGGAAGGGCAGAACAAGAAACAATGGATGGAAATTAATCAACGAGAGAAGCAACATGGAATTGAAAAGAACTTTTCTGACAGTGAGAACAATCCAACCATGGAACAGAAGTTGCCTTCAGAAGTTGTGGGTTCACCATCACTGGAAGCTTTTAAGAAGAGACTGGACAGCCACTTGTCTGAAATGGTATGGGGTCTCCTACTTGAGCGGGAGGTGTGGGTGGAGGGTGGGGTTGGACTAGAAGACCTCCAAGGCCCCTTCCAGCTCTATTCTAATTCTGATTCTTTCTGAGCTGGGTGGTTCGTTTGTGGATGTTTCAAGACCCAACTAGGTAACATCATTATTGTGGTTGGTGCCACAACCAGCCAGATGTTTAAACTGGACTTGGCATTTTTATTCAGATGTTGCTTGGGGGGAGGTTAAAAGATATAGTTGCAGGATGTCAGCTGTTCCGAGTCATGCTGCCTTTTGCAATTGACAGATGGGGATTTCGTCAATGCTGACAGTGTTCCAGGGGTGCTCCAAGTGTTTTGGGATTGAATCTATGACTATTGATCCTTAGGTCCGTGAAAGCTGACTAGGGGACTTTGGGCCAGTCACTCACTCTCAGGCCAACCCATCTCACCAAGATTAGTGTTTTGGGGAATAGAGGAGGAGGAAGGAGCATTAGGTAGGGTCATTGCTTCAGTTATTGCTTGAGTTACTCATGAAAATGATAAAGGCAAGATAAACAAATCCGAAATAAAATAAAAAAAATCAGTAGCAGTTAAATTAAATGTTAGGAAGAACTTGCAGCTTGCATATCAGCGTTTATGTGGAAGTTTCAAATCTAAATTCAAACACTGATAGTTTTGGAACTAAAATTGATAACTGAGCTTTTAGAATACCATTTGATGCTCCTGGGATGTGATACATAAAAACTAAAAATGATCTCTTTTAAAAAATGTTATTTATATATGAATAATAAAGTCATATATGAAATCAAATATTTCTCAAAGCTACAGAGGAAGCAATTTTTCCTGAATGGATAATAATAGATTTAAACCCACTGGCTTGGGTTTAAATCAAGACAATGAAGAGAATCAACATATGCAATGAGGGAAAAATCTCAAGATAAGGATGAAAACATAAAAAATGATTTCTTGCTCTTTCAGAGTCTTCAGGTGCCAACAATATCTCCATTTATTGCTGATTGGCAAAACTTTGTAGACATTTTGCATGAACCACCCCACCAAAAATGAACTTACGATTTATATTTTTGATAATCTGACTAAATTGTAGAAAGAAAAGATTTATGTTGTAACCATAGAGCAGGGGTCTTCAAACTTGTCAGCTTTAAGACTTGTGGACTTCAACTCCCAGAATTCCTCTCCACAAGTCATAAACTTGCCAAGTTTGAAGGCCCTTGCCATAGAGAAAGAGATGTTTATTATAATTGTATGTATATAACTATGGTACAGAAGATTGAAAGCTACTTCTTTCTTTATTCTTTCTTTTCCATTTTCCTTTTCTGCTTGTCCATCTATCTATATCAACACAGTATCAACAGTAGAGACCTTCAAATTTCTAGGTTCTATTGTATCAACAAGCCCTAAAATGGACACCTAACATCAAAAATGTCATAAAAAAGCACAACAAAGAATGGTGTTTCTGCGAAAAGCTCAAAATGCCCAAGGAGCTGCTGATACAGTTCCACAGAGGAATTATTGAGTCTGTCATCTGCACCTCTATAACTGCCAGGTTTGGTTCTGCAACCCAACAGGACAGACACAGACTTTAGAGAGTAATTCGGACTTCAGAAAAAAACAATTACTACCAACCTGCCTTCCATTGAGGACCTGTATACTGCATGAGTCAAAAAGGGGGCTGTGAAAATATCTACAGACCCCTCACATCCTGGACATAAACTGTCTCAACTCCTTCCCTCAAAACGACGCTATAGAACACTGCACAACAGAACAACTAGACACAAGGACAGTTTTTCCCCGAATGCCATCACTCTGCTAAACAAATAATTCCCTCAACACTGTCCAACTATTTACAAAGTCTGCACTACTATTACTATTAATCTTCTCATCACTGCTTATCACCCATCCCCTCCCACTTGTGACTGTATAACTGTTACTTTGTCGCTTGTATTCTTACGATTTATATTGACTGTTTCCTAGTATGATTTGATTGCTTATTGTACCCTATGACTATCATTAAGTGTTGTACCTTATGATTGTTGATGAATGTCTCTTTTCTTTTATGTACACTGAGAGCATTTGCACCAAGACAAATTCCCTTGTGTGTCCAATCACACTTGGCCAATAAAGAATTCTATTCTATTCTACGTCATCTATCCTACTGTGTCTGTTCTATCTGTCCATCCATCCCTGTCTCTATCTCTCTCTACCTACCGTTGTCTACCTACCTGTCTCTGGATAGACAAAAACACGATAGATACGCCGACCCATTTAGGCCCCGGGGTGCATGAATTTGCCAGTCCTACAAAACCAACCCAAGTCTTGCCCTGAAATTCTTCTAATGTAGGAACCACGAGGAGGACGACGACTTCCCCAAGCCTTCCTCTTGAAACCTCTCCTTCATCTCGCTTTTCCCCATCCGAGGCAGGAAATGTTTTAAGCGTAATCGCTTGGCTGGGTTTCCATTGGCCAGCGTTTCCCCAGCTTCGGGCATTTCCAGGTAGGTGGACTTCCACTCCCAGAATTCTCAGCAGAGGCCCTGCCGGCTGTTGGATTTCTGGGAGTTGAAGTCCGCCCACCTGGAAACCAGGTTTGGGAAACCCTCAATCAAGTCAGACACCCGCTCCGCTCCGCCCCCCCCCCCACCCGCCCAAATTTCTGCCAGTGGGCAAATTCTCCCCGGAGCCAACCAGCCACCACCTTCCTGCTTCCGCGACGCACGTGTGGTTGTGAGCGTCTCTCGTTAGCCCTCCTCCTCCTCCTCCTCCGCCTGATTCATGGGGATCCTGATTCTGCCACCCCCCCTCACCCCCCCCCTTTCATTCCATTGAGAGCTTCCCATTGGCGGACCATCTGCAACCCAACCGCACCTTCGCTTTGGGGAGAATCGCGCGTCACCTAGTTACCGGATTAACCCTCGGTTGGGATTCACGTGTCGCATGAGACGCCCTTCCCGGCCCCCTCCCCTTAACTACAAAAGTGGGGCTCGCTCGCAACACACGCCAAATCCAAAGTGGGATTTACACGAACCAGGTTTAGGCTTTTTCGTAAAACAAAACAAAACAAAACAAGGTCCAAGATCAATAATTGCCCTGTATCTGGCTGTCAGTGTGTCTATATCATCCATCCACCCATCGATCCATCCGTTTACCAATTCACCCATCTAGGCATCCTTCCATATCTATCTATCTATCTATCTATCTATCTATCTATCTATCTATCTATCTATCTATCTATCTATCTATCTATCATCTATCTATCGTTCAGTCCATCCATTTACCAATCCATTCATCTATGCATTCTTCTATCTCTCTCTCTCCTCCTCCCCCTTCCTTCTCGTCCCCTCCCCCTCCTTCCTCTTCCTCTTCCTCCTCCCCCTCCTCCTTTCTTCTTCTTCTTCTTCTTCTTCTTCTTCTTCTTCTTCTTCTTCTTCTTCTTCTTCTTCTTCTTCTTCTTCTTCTTCTTCTTCTTCTTCTTCATCTCCTCCTCCTCCTCCTCCTCCTCCTCCTCCTCCTCCATTCTTCTTCTTTTCTTCCTCTCTCCCTCCCTCCTTTCTCTCCATTATACCTCCACCTATCCATCCAATCCATCTCTCTTTCTTTCTCTCTCTCTCTCTCTCCCCCTCCCACGATTTTAATCGCAATTCTGCAATCCTGCGCAAATCGGTTTTGCCATGATACCGGAACCCAACTGCCGCCCCAAAGATGCAGAAGACTAGATCTCGGCCTCCGCGGAGGAGGAGGAGGAGGAGGAGGTGCTTCTTTTCTTCTCGTGCCAAAGTCGGGCGCTCTGCACACGCCCAGAGATGCCGAATCAAGCACCCCCCACCAAAAAAAAGCGCCACAAAAAAACCCCAACAATCCCCCCATCACACACTCCAAATCTTTGCCAATTAGTAGCGTGTGCCCGGGAGTGGGGGGTGGGGTGGGTGTGGGTGGGAAGAGATTGGATTGGCATTTGTCAGAAATGGTGTAGGGTCTCCCGTTTTGGGAGGGCGCGGGGGGTTGGACTAGATGACCTATAAGGCCCCTTTCAACTCTGATGATCTCTTAGCCCCACCTCCGATCAGGCGTCGTTTCCCTCTCCCGCCCCCCCCCTCCGCCACACCTTCAGCGAGCGGCGCGGGAAGGGTTAAACGGCGGGCGCGGGTGGCGGCGGCGGCGGCGGCGGCGGGGGGGCTCCCGGGAGGAGCTGCGCAAAGCAAGCGGCGAGGAGGCCGGACAGATTTCCCTCCTCCGCGCTGCTGGTGCTGCTGCTGGTGCTGCTGCTGCTTTTGGCCAAAGCCACCCAGCGGTCGCCGCAGTGCCCGGCCGGGGCTGTGCTGCTGTCATGCCGCTGCTGCCTCTCCGCTCGGGTCCCGGGCAGCTCGCTCTCTGCCCGGCGCGGTTGCCCGGCTCGCGGCCGCTCTGAGCCCGGCACCGGCCCGCGCGCTGCCGCCGCCGCCGCCGCAGGATGGTGCAGAAGTCGCGCAACGGGGGCGTGTATCCGGGCACCTCGGGCGAGAAGAAGGTGGGCTTCGTGGGGCTGGACCCCGGCGCCCCCGAGTCCTCCCGCGACGGGGCCCTGCTGATCGCCGGCTCCGAGGGCGGCGGCGGCGGCGGCGGGGACGGCGGCGGCGGCAAACGCGGCTCCATCCTCAGCAAGCCCCGCTCGGCCGTCAGCGGGAAGCCGCCCAAGAGGAACGCTTTCTACCGCAAGCTCCAGAATTTCCTCTACAACGTCCTGGAAAGGCCCCGCGGCTGGGCGTTCATCTACCACGCTTACGTGTGAGTAAAGGCAGCGGGGGGGGGGGGGGACTGCGGCGCGCCCGGGCCCGTCGCACCGGCCCCGGCCCAGCCCTGGCCGGCCCACCCGCAGCCTCCCCGCGCGGGGGTCGCTCTCCGTCCGCGCCGCTTTCGCCGCTGCGGCCGCTTCCTTTGGGGGGGGATTTCTGTTTCTTTTCCAGGAAATCCCTTCCTTCCTTCCCCACTTCCCTCCTTCTTTCCTCCCTTTCATCTTCCTTTGCATCCTCCTTCCTTTCTCTCCTCCCTCCCTCCCCCTCCTCCCCCTTTCCTTCCCCACATCCTCCCTCCTTCCTTCCCCACTTCCATCCTCTTTTCCATCCTTCTTTCCTCCCTGTCATCTTTCTTTGCATCCTCCCTCCTTTCTCTCCTCCCTCCCTCGCTCCCTCCCTCCCTCCTTCCTTCCTTCCCCACTTTTACCCTCCCATCCTCCCTCCCTCTCCTTCTTCCCATCTCTGTCTCCCCTCCTCCCTGCACCCCATCTTTCTCTTTTAGAATAGAATGAATGAGCTCTCTTACTCAAGCAGGAGAACCTATACATTTCATTTTCCTTCCTTCCTTCCTTCCTTCCTTCCCTCCTTCCTTCCTCCCTTCCTTCCCATCCTCCCTCTCCTCCCTCCATCCCATTTTTCTCTTTTCCTTCTTTCCTTCCTTCCATCCTTCGTTCCTTCCTATCCTCTCTCCCTCTCCTCCCTCCACCCTATTTTTCTCTTTTCCTTCCTTCCTTCCTTCCTTCCTTCCTTCCTTCCTTCCTTCCTTC